GTCGGTGTAATATGCGAGTATAAATAGGTCAGTAATCCTCCGCCTGAAATCATATTCTCTTCATATCTCTTTTTGTACACTTATCCTCTTTCTGAGTGTCTATTCTTTGATTTTGCTAAGATTTTAATGTTTAGGTTGTTTTGGTTTCTCACTGAAACTGAAAGTAATTATTATAGTGGCAGGTCTTTCTTCGAGATTATTATGTTTAGGTTGTTGTGGTTTCTTTGTCGAGGGTTGAAGTCCGACTCCGTTTCTGGGAAGCAAAAAAGTACGTCGCGGTGGAGAACTAATGGGCGTTGATATGATCTTCATATACTCTCAGGTATTCCGTTCATCAATTAACTCAACCTTATTTATATCACAGATTTTCTTGATTAAACACATGAAAATTTGAAAAACCATTCTCAGTTCTAAATGAAACACGAATCTGTAAGGGAGAATTTCAATTATACCACTTTGGTGGTACCACTTTTCATGTTTACCATCAACAAAGGAACATTTTCAAAAATACGCATTTTACTAAAAGATAAAAGACTCTTAAATCCTTGTTTTTTATATATATACATAAAATAAATGTTAAATAAAATATTAATCCTAAACCCTAAAACATCAATTCTAAACTCTAGACCCTAAAAAGTAAACCCTAAACCCTAAAAATCAACCCTAAACCCTAAAATATCAGTTCTAAACCTTAAACCCTATAAACTCTAAACCCTAAAAAGTAAACCCTAAACCCTAAAAAATCAACACTAAACCCTAAACTATCAATCCTAAACCCAAAACCCAAAACTCTAAACTCTAATAGTATTTTGAGTATTAAACATTTGATGGTAAAGTTGGTTAGTGTAAAATTGCAAAAGTGGTATCTTGAAAGTGTTATTTTTGGCAATTTCCCAATCTGTAATCATGTTTTTGGTTTGTTCCTCATATAATTATCCAGAGCTATTAAACACAGTTATATTTGGAACTCTATTATACGATCTATTTGAAACACTTTGGAATGATGAATCTTTAATAATGTTTTATTGTTTGTCTTCATATAATTTTCCAGATGCGCTTAAAAATTCTACGATCTAAATGAATTACCTTTGAATGATGAATCTTTAGTCATGTTTTTTTTTTTTTTTTTCATATAATTTTCTCAATTTTCTTGAACAACATGAATTTGAAGCTCTGTTCTCAGATCCTAATGAAAAACCTTTCAGTGATGAAACTTTAATCACACTTTTTTTGGCCATTTAATTTTGCAGTAACTCTCATGCCGGCAACTGTGAATGTCAACCGTCTTGACACGTTCCGACCACATCTGAAGGCTGGATCTCTTTTCTCATCGAGCCGGTTTGATGTGGCAAGGTGCAACCAGAATTTTAGGTTAACCGACTCGGCTCTAATGATCCGGTTTAGTGATTCGACTGCATTTGCATTTGTTGAATTAACTGAACCGGTGGCTCCGACACCTGAGGAGCGGTTTAGATTCCGTGATCACGATTCCCTGTACGTCCTGGCTAATACCAATACACAATTCCCAGGTACGAAATATTTTTAAAGTGTCCTTCCAGCCTAATAATTGTAATTGTCAGATAAGATAATAATCCTTTTCAGTGACTCTCAGATATTATAGGGGAGCTCACCGCTGTGAGAGTACAGTAGGTGACGGTCCTCAGAGCAATGAACATGTTATGGCAACTGCGAAAATTAATAAGTGTCTTACTAAATAACGCCATTTACTCTATATGAAGTCTATCGTAGAAATATGGGTTGATCATTTAATTTAACTGTTTATCCCTTGGCAGTGATATTACTGTGACAGTGAGCCTGTTTGACTCACAAGCCGTCTCTTTCCACAAGAAACTGGAAGGCTTTGGAGGTGATCCTAGAGGTGCTGGCAACAAACATCAATCCTAAAGTTGTTGGAGGTACAATTCTTCTTCTAAATAAAGTACTGAATCATGTAATTTAGAGGTTATGATTCTACTTTAAAAACTATTTGCACTTGAAAACACCAAACATATTTCTGAATCGATATTAAATATGTGTTTGTAGGACATTTGTTTTTGAACGCAACGTCAGCAATTCATATTTTTCGATAAAGAGACTTCTGCAGGGGGAATTATGTTCTACGAGTAAGTTTTTAGTGGTTCCAGCGTTATATGTCTCACTATATTTTCACATAATCGTAATCCATGACATTGTCTGACGTGTAACTCACAATTCTGTAGACTGGTGTCCAGAGACACTGGAAGCACTCCAGTTCCTACATTGCTCAGAGGATATGGGAAGATTTAGCCTGTGAGCATCTCGGAGCTGAATGAGTTTATAATAACCGCCAAACCTCAGGTTGTATCACACAGTTCTATAATGTAGTATTTTCCCCACTATATAGTAAGGTTTTATCACACAATTCTAAAATGTATTATTTTCCCGACTATGTAGTAGGATGTAAATCTAACATGGGTTCATTCTACGACATTGAGTTCGTGTGTACCAGTAAGGTTACTGGGATCAAGATGGACAAAGGATGGTGCTATGTATCCTGCTCAAGATGCACCAAGAAGCTCTGCCGGAATGCGTCATCCTTTTCGTGTGGCAGCTGCAATTGTTAACAAATAAATTTACATCTAAATAAATTATAAAATATTATAAAAAATCATACAGTAAGGAATAAAATTAACAGTTATTTGTTAATAATTTCAGAATAAACCAATCGACATGTTTTATTGATGATCTATATACTTAAATTTTTATTTCTCGATTTAGTAAGTCACATTTATTAAAATTAATTTTACATATAATTAATTATGTTAAAAATAATTATATAAATAACAAATCAAATTTAGAAAAGCCAAATATTTATAGAATAATCAGATAACTAATCTCCATAATTAAATAATGCATTTTTATCGAGAACAAATATTTGCAGTGTATTATATATTTACTACATTGTAGTACAATTTTTGTTTAATAATATTACAAAACAAATTAGATATTTTTACCATATTTTTTAAAAATGTAACTATTCATTGTCTACATTTCGGTAATGCAGATTATCTAAAAACTAATATCTATAATCAAAAATTCAAAAACCAATAACAAATATCTAACATCTAAAATTAAAAAAAAAAAAGAGAAAACAAGAATTTAAAATTCAGAAACCAAACAAAGAATCACTATCTCTATATCATTAGCGGAAAATATTACATCACAATTATATCTCTGCAGGTTTTATTTTCTCCGTTTAATATTTGTTAATCCAATCGATTTTATTAATCAAATACGATGCGCCATAAAATATGAAGTCCACCTAAAATACATATAGAGGAGAATCAAAAGAGGGGGGGGGGGAGAAAACATCCAGTGATGTTCGATTATACAACAAACGATTTGGTATGGACAAATACAAAGTTAGGAAAGAAGAGTGTTTTAACACCACTACGACCAAATGAAAGTAACAGAATAAAGATAAACTAATAACGTCATTGGACCACCTGTTAAAAACCCAAATATAATTAAACGTAATTAACTTTACCAAAATAATATTTAAATAATTAGAAATAAACAACTTCCTAAACCACCAGACAATAATACTTCAACAAAATTCATAACAAACGCAAGCCAGCTCCAAAAATATAAGCTCAGCTAAAATTAGTTAAACATCTCGGCATGCAAAAGATACTTATCTAAGCAATACAGAAGCAACAAACGACCATCATACCAAAATGGACGCATACACACAGCAAGAAAACACATAAACGTTCACAATATATACGATTTACTCATTTACACATGCCATGTTACACGATGAATAAAGATCCAATATACAGACATAGAAATATTCAATATGGCACTCACTGCCAACAACACCAATATTGAAATATATAAACATCTACAACTCACTAATATCATATCCCAGATGTAATGTGCTAAACTGTAATCGTAGACCTAATACCTATCGACAACCACTATTGTGTTAATAACCAGATAAGTTAAAAAGACAAAATTTATATATCCGATATATCCATAACCAAACCAAAATAAATTATGATATAAATAGATAATCCCACCTCTCCAAAATTTTTAGAATTACAAAATAAAAACATAATAACAAAACTTTCCAATGCAAACATATTATAATAGCACAAAATATTACAAAATTCTTAACGTACTTTATCAGTAAAGTATATCCCGCCCGTAGGGCGGGCCGACCCTAGTGATTTATAAACCTTTATAAATGATTTATAAATCCTTATAAATGATTTATAAACCCTTAGAAATAATTTATAACCCTTTATAAAATGTTTTAAGACTTTATAATTGAATTACCTTTAGAATTTCTACAAATCCTTATAAATAATTTTATAAACCCTTATAAATAATTTTATAAACCCATATAAATAATTTTATAAATTCTTATAAATGATTTATAGACTATCATAAAAAGGTTTTCACCAGCCTCCTCTTTTGCAGCTTCCACCATTTGATCCTTCAAAAACAAAACAGACAGAGATTGATATTTGTCAAGACAAATCATATATAAAAAATAACTATAATATTTTCATGTCAATGTCTTAAAAAATAAAAAGTAAAGGTTGTTTACCTGAGCAGATATAATCCTGGCTACAGTTTTCTTGCTTGACTCTTGGAGCTCACCCGCAATCAAAAGTTCATCCAATATGTAATACGCCTAAGAAAGTAACCAATGAAAAAAACTAAGTGTTGAATAATGGCAGAGTGTTTGTGTTAATGTGTATATTACCTTGTGGAAGTTAAAAATCAAATCAAGTTCACACACGTGAAAAGATCACACAAAAAAAAAATTATAAGAAGTGGAAGCAGAGGTTATGCCAAGTAGGTGGCTAGCTAATCAACTCACACTTCCGAAATAGCGGTCGAGAATCTCGACGTAGTGATGAATGATCTCAAGGACCTCTAACTCATTATCCTCCTGATCAATACAAATACAAAAGTAGAGACTCGCGTACCTTTTGTAGACAACTTTGTAACTACCCTTTCTCATCCGCAAGCATGTAAACAGCAGTCAACGACTTCCCAACCAAGTCAAACACATTGAAAGCTGCAATGAGTAGAACATGGAACCAATCTTTAAGCAGATCAGAGTGAACATCCTCGGTAATGTAGCCAGGGAATATAGACAGCGTCACAATGTATATAAGTACAATCCCAAAGCCATGAGACTTGATCCTAGTAACGATCTGCCAGAGTGTTTTCCTCCACATTGGTCCGGTTAAAGAACCGTTCTCTTGACTCTCTTTGAGCAGTGCTTGAGCCTTGCGCTCTTCATGGAAATTGATCACAGGAAGCTTGTGAGCTAAGTTGTAGGATACAGCACAGATCACCATAACAACTATACCCACAGCGAAGTAGAGATTCGCGCTTTTTCTTAAGCCATCAGGATCTTGTGGATACACAGCTTTAGTCAAGATCCTTAACAGAGACACAAGAACACGTAAGAAAAAAAATCAAACTTTTCTAAATTAACAATCTAACAGTAAAGGTTGAAACTTTTTTTAATCAAAATTCTCAATAGAGACACAGCAATAAGGCGTCACGACAACAAAAAATTACCCTTATGAATGGAATCTTAAGTAGGGGGCTTTGACCGCCCGCCTATCAATCAAAGAGGCAGAGAATAAACGTAAGCTCACCCGTAAGCTTTAATAATCTAACAACATCAATTAAAAGTTGAAAGTTTCTATTAAAGGTTGAAGCTTTCTTAGTCAAGATACTCAAAAGCGAAAGACGGAAGATAAATGTTCCAGTGACCAAAGACGAAAGATAAATGCTCAAAGCTCAGTTCCAAGACTTTCTCAACTTGTGTAGGAACTTCCATGGCAACGAGAAACACTTCTGAACATCCATGGCGAGTTTTGACCTGATGAGATCATCTTAATCCTCCAACAGTTTGGTGAAAGTGAACCACTTCTCCAGGATT